ATACCTTATACATAATTCACATACATATATGTTTGATTATACATACATACAGAAAGTAATTCGCTGCGAACTGATAACAAGACTACTATATTTGAGTTCGCAGCGAACTGATATTGTGCATAGTATGCTCAGAAGTCGTCTGTTTTTATAAGCAACGCTACAAAATGATAAAAACGGTCTGTTGTCATTATGCAATATGTATCCGCTGAATAAGTGCTATTTGTTGGTACACAAAAATCGAATATGATTTGAAAAATAAAATTGTGAAAAATTGAACAGCGCATGTCAACATTTCTAAATCATTCTTTTCAACTATTTATCTGACTTTTTACTTTTGGTGTCTTCTTGTACACAGAGTTCCAACAAAATTTATCAGTCAAAGAAGTGCGTCACAATTAAGACAAGATGATAGTGAAGAGTTAGAATTAGTTATAATGTCAAGACGCCAATCAATAGTGGATCCGGGTGATCAAGTAAGGTTCTGCAGTCGTATTGTCCCCTAGCTAGTATATTTGAGATTCCGCTGGTAGTGGCATGCTAAATGTCAAGAAGCACAGTGTTTATATCGAATGTGTTTTTCTTGATATATTTAGATGAAATAAAGAGACTAGAATCAGACCTTGCTAAATATCGAAAAGAAAATCAAACTTTAAAGCGAAGAGAAGGAAGGGGAGGTGATACAATTTTGATTATATTGGTTTTTCGCTCTCTTCACACACACACATACACCGTATTTGTTATTTATTTCTTCCCATACGGATGTAACTTCCCTTCCAAAACTTATCATTAGCTAAAAATTATTTTTACACTACCTCTGCTGAAATTTTAGAACTTTAATTTGCACGCGGAAGGGGCTACCCTTTGCACATTTCTAGATTTGCTGATTATTTCTCTTCAGACGGCAGTACTAATAGATTAAATTAAATGTTCATCATTCCATAATGATCAAAATCTATCTTTTCTTCTTCGAAAACTTGAATGGAAAAACGCATTACAGCCTTTGTTATTAACGTTGTAGTGACGAGAACTGAAGAAATCGAAAAAAGAACGACGAAAGATATAAGGTCAAAAGTACATAATATGTACGTTTTTTTCGTCTTTCTGATGTGTGTCTTCGGTATAAAACGTGATGCTGAACGTGTCCAGGTAATTCAATACAGCCAGTAATTGCATTTATTGGATAACTTAAACAAACCTTCAAGACAATAACAGAAAAAAAAGTCTCTCTCCTTTCTTCCACAATAAGCACGATAATAGTTATATTTTTGTTTTAATTGGAACACAGAACACATTTATTTCGCGCACACACAACTCGCAACCAAAGAAGAATTTTAACTATTGAACTGTAGAAAAAATGTCAACAACAAAAAATCCATCAACTGACCCAGAAGCAGCTAGAAACGCTGCAGCATCTGATCATCGACATCATTTAATTTCAATACCTGATGTAAAAACATCAGCAGCGGCGACAGAAGGAGATAATAATGACCAACATGAACAGGGTCGCCATCATCAAATAAAACCAACTGAAGGAGGATCGACGGTTCCAGATAAATCATCAGCGGAACAATATATTCAAGCTATAAGTAATATAGATGCTCAAGAGAACAGACGTGAAGGTAACGTTGTAGCGTCATCCGGAATCGAATCTGCGAGTAAACATTAGTTAGACGGCATTCATAAAGGAGTAGAGAAGGATGTGAAAGGAATCAGCTAAAACCGGGCAGTAGCCATTTCGACGGAAAGTGGATTGATTTCAAGGAACAGAATGAGAGAGGAGTGAGAAAACCTTGTGCTCTGCTGAATTTCCTTAATGGATGATACTCATTAATTACAAAGAACATTTAAACCGGAAATGCTAATTCTTTTTTCGGTTTCTGTCACAGTTTGTAAAGTAAAATACATGCACATTAAATAAAATTTATTTTATCTAAAATATTCAATATGGATTGGAGTTGTCGGACACTACGATTGATTGATTGACATTTCCACTACCTCCCGATTCATCCGCTGTTTTGCAGAGCTTCGAATTCTTATAGTCCCGGCTCTTCGTTCCAATTCATTTCCATCACATCTCTCCTCTACTCCGGTCTCCATTACTACCACTTCTCAGAGCTCTTGCATCTTAATGTTTTAGCGTCCTGAAAACCAGTTAGAAATCATTAAGAATTAAGTGCAAACATATATGCCGGAAAAATTACTGCTGATAACATCGAGCCTACTGCACAGCTTCAATCGAAGGATATAAATACAAAACAGAGGCTTTAGTTTCGCAGTTTAGTGCAAGTCTTAGTTTATGTGGTCGAATCTCTATCGGTACAAAAATGATCTTGTGTTTTTGGACAGTTTTAGTTTAGAATACTATAACGGAATATTTTTCAACTCGTATTCTGAAAGAACAAAGCTTATCAAATACGGTGAATATTAGAAATCAAAAAAGTGTTTTCAACAACTGTTAAGTAAACCACTAATGACAGTAGTACATTTACAGCTAGTCCACGTAATGGTAGACTTTTATGTCAAAGTTAAGGTGCAAATGCGGCTAAAACTAGTACGACTATGTTGTAGAGGATAGTCAATAATGTATAAAAGTGCATTCTTTTATCTTCGTTT